CGGGACCGCGGTGACAAGGGAGCAGCGGCCAGGGGCCGCAAAACCGTGACCGCGAGACCGCGGTGACAGGGGAGCAGCTGCCAGGGGCCGCGAAACAGCGGAAACGCGGGACCGTGGTGCCACGGGAGCAGCAGACAGGGGAGCAGGCAGATGCGAAGTCGACCTCGGAGCAGTCCGCGAAAGAGAAGTCGCCCGAGACGCCGACCGTGGTGTAGCCGGACGCTGAGAGCAGTGACGCCGCGGAGCCAGCAACAGGGGAGCAGTCGGACGCCGGCAGCGAAACCGCGGGACCGCGGGAGGCCGCAGGACTGCGAGGAGTCCACCGACAGCGATGTGGTGGAAGTTCAGACCGGGCCACGGCGGACAAGCCGACTAAGTCGGCCGCCTGATTTTTTCGTCCCTACTGCCTACACCACGGTGTACGACGTTGATGATGACGACCTGGCGTACGACGACGCCGCGGACGATGAGGAGTTTCCCGAGCTTGACCCCGATATGCACGCCGATCCCGAGCACCGATGGGACATTTCCACGATGTCGGTGAAGGAGGCGTTGGCGAGCTGGAAGGGTCCGGCGGTGAAGGCCGCCATGGAAGAGGAGATCCGCAGCCTCCTCAACATGGGCACGTGGGAGCTGGTCGAACGCCCACCTGGGGTGAACATCATGAAGAACCGGTGGGTGCTGACCACGAAGTACCGCATCGACGACACTGTCGAGCGCGAGAAGGCGAGATTGGTCGTGAAAGGCTTCACACAGGTGTATGGCGCCGACTACGACGAGACGTACGCGTCGGTGAGCAGCTACACTGAACCAAATTATTGTCCTTATGCTTTCTTTCTGTACTGGAAAATGTACAGAATTGTCAAATTCTCATACATTATAACAAACAACCTCATACCGGGTTCGCGTCTATGTGTTACCAGTTTGTGTTAGCACACGACTGGTACAAAAACACCCCTCGCTCTAACGAGTCAGCACTTTCTTCTCGACACCCCACACGGACAAATCTTTCCAATATCTCCTGCGCTTTATTTCTTCTGCAACTAGATCTAGACTAGCTAGGTTCTGAGGAGATTACGTGCGGTTTCTACGATCTACGCGTAGCGCTAACACCCCTGCAGTATGAAGCGCCTTAGTAAGCAGAAACAGAAACGGATCATGCAGCTAATTTCGGACGGGCGTAGTTACCGCCAAATCGCCAAGGAGTTGGGAGTTTCGAAGTCCGCCGTTCATGACGAGCTACTCCGCCACCTCGGTCCGAAAACTTACGACGAGCTAGTGCCATCCCCGGCGAAGCCAGGTCGGCCGCGCAAGCTACCAGAGCAAGTCGCGAGGATAGTCGTAAGGTCGATAGTCTCTGGTGAATCGAAATCCGCCGAGGCCGCAGCGGGAATGATAGCCTCTACGCACGGAATCAATGTCACTGGCGCCACCATCCGAAACACTCTCAAGTGGCATAGAGTTAGGGCGATTGAAAAGCCGTCGAAGCCTAGATTATCTGATAAAAATGTCAAGGACCGTATGCAGTGGGCCAAGGACCATCAGCACTGGACGATCGATGATTGGAAACGAGTAGTTTGGAGCGACGAAACGAAGATAAGCCGGTTTAGTAGCGACGGACGTAACTGGGCCTGGATTAGAGAGGACTGTCACATGGAGCCGCACCATGTGAAACAGACCGTCAAACATGGCGGCGGCTCCCTCATGATTTGGGGGTGCATGACATACAACGGCGCGGGTTTCATGTGCAAGATAGAGGGCAGAATGAACGGGGAGCTATACCGTTCAATCCTACAAGACGAGCTTCAGCAGACAATCGAGCATTACGAGTTGAATCCCGAGACCGTTGTGTTTCAGCATGACAATGACCCGAAGCATACATGCAAGATGGTCAAGACTTACCTAGATGCGCAGCCGTACACTGTTCTCTCATGGCCTGCATCTAGTCCCGACCTCAACCCCATAGAACATTTGTGGGTTTACTTGAAAAAGCAGCTGCTTGCTTACCCCCGGCCCCCCGCAGGCATTCTTGAGCTATGGGACAGAGTTCAAGTGGAATGGGAGAAAATCCCAGCGGCCTGGTGCAGTGAGCTGATCGACAGCATGCCTAGGCGTGTGCGGGCTGTGCTCAAGGCCAAGGGTCGGTGGACGAAGTACTAGATTCTGCTTGGTTTGCATGTGTGACTGTAATTGTAAAAAATTGTCCATGTGCAGGTATTTGCCTAGAACTATATTAGCTGAGTGTTGGGCCAAGTTTATGGCCATCATGCCGCGTGTTTACATGTACAAGACATCATGCTTTAACCTCAAGTGGACAATTATTAAGGCTTAATCACCATGGCATCACTAATGCTTGATTTTGTCCACAAAAATGAACATGTGGACAATTATTTCGTTCAGTGTAGCAAGCAGTGTGAGCACTTGGAAACAACTAAGGAACGAACGAACGCTACTATCACGCTTGCCCCGTGCCTAGCCCGTAGTCTAGCTCCCGTTGCACGAGTTATCTCCGCACCATCCCCTCCCATTCTCAGCATACCCCCACCCATTCTCCCCCATCCCCTCCTATTCTTGCACATCCCCTCCCATTCTCCCCCATCCCCTCCCATTCTGCCCCATCCACTCTCATTCTCCCCATCCCCTCCTATTCTCCCCCTCCCCCTCTCACTCTCCCCATCCCATTCTTTGTATGTGTGTATGTGTGTGTGTGTGTGTGTATGTGTATGTGTGTGTGTGTGTGTGCGTGCGTGCATGCGTGCGCGCGCGTATATGTGTGTGTGTGTGTATTGTTTCTGGCCGTTTATATTTGGTGTACCTCTCATTCTATCCCATCGTATCCCATCGCATCTAGTCCCATCCCATCCCATCCCATCCCATCCCATCCCATCCCATCCCATCCCATCCCATCCCATCCCGTCCCGTCCAATCTAATCCAAACCCAACTGTTGGCGCTTCAACTTACACCTTAGATGCCATATCAATTGCTGTCTCGGGAGCCATTTCAGTTGACTTAATGTTTCCATTGCAGTTGCCATCTCTGTTGCAATCTCACTTACCATCTCAATAGCCTTCGCAATACCCATGTCAGTTGAAAATTCAGGTTCAATTTCAGTTGCCACACCAGTCCACGTTTCAGTTGGCATCTGTGTTGCAACACTTGCCATCTCGCTTGCCATTTCAGTTGACATCTGTTTTGCCATCTCGTTACGTTTTGCTTGCCAGTTGCTGCTTGCTTGCTTGCCATCTCACTTGTTCCTTCGCTCCTTCACACCTTGGTTACCAGCAAGGCGCCCATGTGAATCGCTCTCGCCCTCTCCAAGCAAACAACCCCCTGCCCTCTTTCTCTGCTTCACCCCCTAACGTTCTCTCCCATGACTCTGCTGCTTTCGTTCTCTTCCCACCTCCCAATATCACTCCCCATACTCGCTCTTCTCTAATCTTTCTTGACCTCTCCATTTAGGAAACGATTTCCTTTCTCCAACAACACTCTATTCTTGCCATCTGAGGTTCTCAGTCACATCTCTCAACCCCATGCCTTGCATCTTCTGTGTGACCCTGACAACAAGCGCCCATAAACCCATGCGCCCTTGCAACTCTGCACTCATGCACCCATCCATTCTTGCACCTAGGAACCCACACACCCATGCACCCACACACCCATGCACCCACACACCCATGCACCCACACACCCATGCACCCACACACCCATGCGCCCACACACCCATGCACCCACACACCCACGCACCCACACACCCATGCACCCACACACCCATGCACCGCTCACCCATGCACCGACACAACCATGCACCCACACACCCATGCACCACACACCCGTGCACCATACACACCCATGCACCATGCACCTTTGCACTCATCCACCTACCCCCTCATACACACCCGCACACCCATGCACCCATGAACCCATGTACTGAACTTGTGAGTTTCATCAATCCGCCCAATACCTTGCTTCTGCTATGTGACCGTGAACGCACGCACCCATGCATCGATGCACCTATTCATGCATGCCCCAATTCACCCATGAACCCATGTACACACGCTCCCATGCAAGGACCGGAGGAGGTTAGTGTCTTCATGTTTAATACAGCAGCTGGGAACTGTTTTTTTGCAAGCTAACAATGTACACTTCATCCTGCAAGTTTCTCTTCTCTGAAGATCTCAAGTAGTGTACCCAATGGTTGTGTGTTGGAGTACCGTACATTAATGCACAATGATTCTTACATTCATCCCAACATATTATCATGAAATCCACTTACACCTAGGAACTTGCTCTTGAGTCAGTGCACTCATGTGGTGTTGCACTCTTCTCCACAGCTTCCATACACATGAAACACAGATTGTTTAAAAGCATTTACGTGCAAATTACAAAAAACTACTCCTAGGGCCATGTGCAAACATATCCTAGTAAAATACAGTGAACATAGTGGTTCCTACCAATCATCACATACTTCCCAACAGCAGCTGGGAGTTGTTCCATTGTTTCAGCAAACTCTTCAATTCTGTACCCATGTATATACAGCCCAAATTTGTCTGGGGTGCTCTCATGCTGAGAGCAGACATTGCACTGATGGCTCTTTCAGGAGCTCCTTCTGTGCGCCCTGCTGCTGCTGCAGCCTGGCCTCGCCTGCCTCTCATGCACCAAACCCTCTCTCCTCCCCGCCTGCTGCTTCACCCCCTCCCTGCCACACACGCCACTTGCCACTGCTCTGCCACCTGCTGCCTTCACACCACCCTGCCTTCCACCTGCTGCCCTCCTTGCTGCTCCCTCCCCACACCCGCCCTGCTCTCTCCTCTTCACCCCACTCAGCTGCCTGCTGCTGGCCTTGCTAGCTGCACTCACAGATGATGCACCACCACGTGATCCCGCACCTGCTGCTGCAGCTGCATGTGGGGCAGAGCTTGCATGCGTGTTGTTGCCTTTACCACCCTTCACACCCATGCTCACCACCTTGCTGCTGCACCCATTCTTGCCCTTCGCGCTTTCAACCCCCACCTTGCAATTTGCTGAAACAGCAGGATGGCTTTGGCTTCTGTGCTGCTGCTGCTGCTGCTGCTGCTGCTGCTGCTCCTCTTACTGGTGATGCCGCATCAGGTGATTTCACTGCTATTTTAGGTGCGGGCGAGGAAGCAGCTGGTGATGCGGACACTGCTACAGCCACTGTTGCTGCTGATGCAGGAGGCACAATTTTGCTTGTCAGATTCGCCACAGTATTAGGATGTTTGGGCAAGAAGCAGGTACGCAGGGCGGCTTCAATGGCCGCTTCAATCTCCATGGCCCATGATGCCTCCTTGCTCCGCTTGTCCCATCTCAGGTAAGCAGCATGTTTGGATGCAATATCCATAGCTCTAACCTCCTCATGCAGCTTCGACCACCTCGCTTTCTCACTCTGATCAGCAGCGCATGCACTCGCCTCCTCAGTTATTGCTTCTGTTGTCACACTCGCTTCAGGCACTTGAGGTGTGGTTGAAGCCATTAGAGCCACAGGAGCTACCTCAGGCACCACCACAGGCGCAACCACAGCAGATGGTGAGGGAGCAGAAGGGACGACTACAGGTGCAACCACGGAAGCAGCAGGCTTGCCTCCGAAGCGGCCGATTCCAGGCCGCTTCACATCAGGCGCGTCAGGTACAACGAGCACCTTGGTGGGCTTGTGCTGCCCGTCAGAGACGCCTTGGGAGGCCAGTTTCTCCAGCAGCGGCCTCACGCTCTTCAGAAGCACGCTGCTGCAGAACATCTCACCGTCGCCATTGCAAGCAGCAGGCTTGGCAGGAAAGTATCTTATTGGCGAGAAAACGCTTCGCGGGGTTCCGAACCTGCCAATGCCTCTTGTAGGCGTTGCAGGACTGCTCGCAGTTTGAGAAACAGTGTTCACAGTGCAGATATCAGCGAGAGAGGCCATGTTAAGTGGAGTGCGGATTGCTGAACAGAAAGTGATACTTGAGTAGAGGCAAATTTATGAAAAGCTTATTCACTGCAGATCGGCAGAACGGCAGAGGAAGTGTGAATGATAAGTTCGAAGCATGTGGATCCCATTGCTACTGCACTCCTCCCTCGCCCGCGCAAACCCTCGCCTCCACCCCCGTATGGCGCGTCTGCCTGAGCTTTGGAGTTTCAGCCTCGGCCTGCCTTGCTGTGTACTCGTACGCATGCCACGTATCGCAAATCGAACGGTGGGAGATGAAGCAGCAAAATGGACGGACGGATCTGAAGGCGTATTTTGTTGGGGTTCAGGTTCGGGATCTAGATGGCGTCGCATGAGGCATAATAAGCGGTGTGGGAGGCTCGGAGATATCCTGTCGGTGTCGGTGCGTTTCAGGTCCTTGAGCCCCTCGAGGCGCCTCACCAGTTTCCCGCCATCACTTTAATTCTTGATTTCTTCCCTAGCCATTTCTACGACGCTTTGTTACAACAAACCGTATGACATTTCGTCTTTATGACGTTTTTGTCTAGGATTGTGATGCAAAATCACAAGTCAATGTCCAACGTCGGGAATGACCAACGTCTCTTCCGCCTTACGGCGGCCATGGATTTCCCCGAGTCAACAATGGTCAACATCCTCGCTAAGATGCCTTACGCCTATCTCCGCTGTTGTTACACGCATCGTCTGTAACCTTAACATTGGGACTCCAGTCATTTCTGCTGACCTCGTTTTCTCCTGTTATCAGGCGACATTGCACGGAGATCGTCTGTCATCGTCTGGTCTTACCATTAACAGCTCGCGTCATGGTTACGTTAACATTGTCAACAATGTTTACTGCAGCTCTTCTATTATTAAGCATGAAACTTTCAAGGCATCAATATCAAGAATGCATCATTATCTTCTCGAGATACTGGTCCCTGACAAGGCCAGTCTACTACTTAACTTGTTTGTGCTCAGTCATCAGGCTTTATCCACAGTCATTGAGGGTGCTCGGCACACTCTCCTGCTGCCTGCTTCTTCTCATCATTGCACAATGGCTCATCGTGCTGACGCCGTGGCCCTGCCGAAGGGTCACCGTTCTCGTCCGGATCTTGACCAGTCTGCCTCCACAGCTGCTGCTAACTCTGCTGGTCTTCAGGCACCTGCGAGCAATGGCAAGGACAAGTTTGGTTTGTCAGTCGCTGGTGGATCAGGGGTTTCTGCTGCTGATAAGGTCAACATTCTTGCTGTTGGTCTTACCGATGACGAAGGCTTTATTGACGATGACCCTGACGACGAAATGGTAATCGATCTGGTCAAGGAGGCTGGCTCCGGTTTGCGCTCTGCCGCCATTCCGCTGATTGCGTTCATGTTGCACAAAGAAATTTCCTGTGTGATTGATGCTATCATGGCGCTGATTAAACACAGGTGGTATTCAGAACTGTCAGCTGACGCCGTGCCGACGACCAAGTTTCAGGAACTTCATACTGCTTATATCGCCAAGACGCGCTTCTATCACCTGCAAGTTTCTTTAGTCAAGGAATCTGATGCGGAATGGGTAAGGAAGAAAGAAGTCATCTATCAGCCTCTCAAGAATCAGTCTCAACTCATCACGCTTCATTGGCAACATACCGAAGATCCGACTTTTGCTCGCGAGAAGGCGCTTAACCCGCAGGCGATTGTCTTCATAATCAAGGATGTATCTGCTGCCGTCGAACTGACCATGATCCACGACCAAATGGCTACTTACCCGCTTACGAGTACCCGGAGGTCGGCTTTCCTGCGCTGCACCTGTTTGCATCGCGTGCTGCACCCAGTCACTGGCGTTGTTACGGACGTCGTGTTGGGCCTGGTGTACGCTCACCCAGAAAACCGTAACCGTCGCTGGATCCGCTCGATCGCAGATCCCGCTGATCGCGCGAAGAAACTCTTGGTCCATTACCCGGCATTAACCTGCTCGCTCTGTGGCGGCAAGCATTGTGATAAGTATCATGATGCTTTTGTCATTGAGCGTCATAATAATGTTTGCGAATGGAACCTCACTTTGGGCAAAGTGCACAGACTCAATGGTAACGGCATCAGATTTTCCTCTGCTTGCTTTCCGCTCTGCTTTTCTCACTCATGCACTAACCTGTCTCTGCTCATCTGCAGCTGCGTCGTTGAAAGCGTCCTTGCTCTTTCTTCCGATCCTCCGAGACCCTGCTATTGCTCTCGTCTCCACTGGCAGCAGCAGGGAGGATTGGATCTGCACGCAAATAGGCTGCGGGAAGGCGAAGGGGAAGAGCCTCATGGCTGTTGCAGATCACATCTTGGCAGCCGCTCACCTGCTAGAGCAGTCGAAGGGGAGCTCGGCAACGAAGGCATCTCTCGACAAGCTGAACCTAGACATCATCCGCAAAGACTACGGCCTGTGACGGAGTTCGAGCGTTACCTGGATGCAACTGCTTGTTGGTGCTTAGGATTGAATGTCGCCTGTACTGTCTCTTTTATCAGCCTGTGGATGATCGGGGGTTGCAAGCCGGTGTTCCCATGAATATCAAAAACCATCTCAACTTCTCCAGCCTGAACGTCAACGGTTTAGGCAGCAACAACACCAAGCAGACTAGAGTTAGAACATGGTTCAGGTCAAGCTCAGACATAGCTGTTTTAGTTGACACAAGACTTGATCCAACTCACCCTTACTGGTCGTCTCTCTCAGCCACGTCGTTCATAGCCACCACTCCTAGGACCTGCGCTGGCGGAGAAGCAGTCCTCAGTTGCAACCCAGCTATCACCTTTCACAACCCAATAGCTCACCCTTCTAGTAGAATCGTCTAAACCACAGTTAGAGGTCTCGGTCTTGACTTGATTCTCCTTGCCGTTTACTTTCCATCCAGCATTCTAGCTAGAACCGCCTTCTTCAGAGAGGCGCTCGGCCCTCTCTTAGTTAGCATCCCACCTTCGGACCACCTCCTGCTGATCGGCAATCTGAACATTATAGAGAATCCGCTGTTAGACTGCTCCAGAGGTCACGGTAAAGCTTTAGAAAACGAACGCCTTTTTCATCGCTGCACAACATTCCAACTGTCAGACACGTTTAGAATATTGCACCCGGGCTGCAGAGAGTATACCTTCTTCGCAAAAAGCCACCGAGTTAGCACCCGCATCGATCGCGCTTTAATTTCTCAATCCCTCATTCCTTACCTATCTTACTCTGCACACGTCATGCCAGGCGAGCCCATCTCAGACCACGGTTACGCGATCTCGCTTGCTCTTCGCCTCAATGAAGAGCACTGCAGAGGTCCCGGTTTATGGTGCCTACACGCCTTGATGATCCACCGGCCGGGCGTTCGTAAGATCATTGAGGCAACAGTGCGACGCACCCCTATGAACGACGGTTGCAGTTTTGAGTTGCTCTTAAGAAGGCTGGGAGTTGGGCTCAGAACTTATGCAAAGGAGGAGAGCAAGTGGGTAAAGAAAACACTGCAGCATCTGACTAACACTGTGGCGCTGCTGAAGCAGGAGATGATGCGGAACCCGGATTGCACGGTCACGAGAGCGCTGCTGGAGCCAAAAGAGACAAGGCTGAGAGAATACAACACCTCACGTACTGAGCGACTGTATGTTCAGGTTGGGCTTACGGCGGAACTCACGGGAGAGCTAGCCTCAAAGCATCTGTCGGTGAAGGTTTGGGCGCAGAAGGCTCGCACCCAGATCAAGGAGCTTAAAGTCGGTGCTGGTCGGGTGACTGGCTCACAGCAGATCCTGGATGCAGCCTCTGCGTTTTTCCGGAACATTTTTGGCAAGGACCGCCGCACTGACTTCTCAGACTGGGATCTCTCCTCACTTCAGCGGCTGGATGGTGAAGTTGCGGAGGTCTTGTCAGCGGACTGGTCTGAGCAGGAGGACAAAAAGGCGTTCGCGGTGATGGCTAAAAACAAGTTGCCCGGGGGAGACGGGTTGCCTAAGGAACTCTTCGAAGCTCACTGGGATTTGTTGGGGGAGAGCTTCATGGCCCTGGTGAAGAGCTTCGTGTCAGAACATTATAGCTGATGCATGTTATCTAGGCTACAGTGGGGTAGCCCATAAGGGGTACAACCCAATTAGGGTTAGTACTTGTACTGTTTTCATTCATAGTTCCACCCTGTCTGGTCTTTACCTCCCCTCGTTCTCTACGAACTTGGTGAGTGGTGCTGCCCTACAGGATGCGGGGGTCCACCAGTTCACTCCTGCGCGTCGGCGGGTGACCCACTGCACGGACGAGCACACAGGCCGGCACCTGGCCACGTTTACGCGTCGACCGGGGTCGAGCCTGTACACACTGACCACTGCGTCTCCTCCAATCGTTGCGTCTGGTCAGGTAGCTGCGTCGGGTCAGGTGTTTGCTGCAGCGTCCAGGTCTGGTCCTGAGTCTTCCCCCTGTTCATGTCGCCTCCTGTCTCACGCACCAGACTCTCCTCTGGCACCACCGCCTTGGTCACCCCTCCCTGCCTCGTCTCCGAGGCATGGCCTCCCGTGTCCTTGTCTCTGGTCTCCCCCGGTCCCTCCCTCCCCTTCCTCCGGGGCCTGGCCCTACCTGCGTCCCCTGTGTCGAGGGACGACAGAGGGCTACGCCCCACTCCTCCGAGTTTCCTCCGACAGAGGCTCCGCTGCAGACGCTTCACATGGACGTGTGGGGCCCAGCCCGCGTCCGTGGACAGGGTCACGAGCGCTACTTCCTGCTGGTGGTTGACGACTACTCGCGTTACACCACAGTCTTCCCCTTGCGCAGCAAGGGTGAGGTCACTGAGGTGTTGATCGACTGGATCCGCGCAGCTCGTCTCCAGCTCAGGCGGAGCTTCGGCTCGGACTTTCCTGTTCTGCGTCTGCACTCTGACAGAGGCGGAGAGTTCTCCTCCGGCCTTCTGCGAGCCTACTGTCATGCACGAGGCATCCGCCAGACCTTCACGCTTCCGGACTCTCCACAGCAGAATGGGATTGCTGAGCGCCGCATTGGCATGGTCATGGACGTCGCACGTACG